GTAAATATAATTCATATCTTTTTGTTATGGTGACTCTTACTCGGTCTTCCTCTACTCAGAGTTGGTAGCCATATTATATAGGTGTGGAAGAGTCCATTTGTAGGTAGGTCCCCACAACACATTTATTATTAAATTTTCATAAGCATTTCTGTAAATATAATTCATATATTTTATTATTAGATTTTCACAAGCAATTCTGTAATTATAATTCATATCTTTTATTAATAAATTTTCACAAGCAATTCTGTAAATATAATTCATATCTTTTATTAATAAATTTTCACAAGCAATTCTGTAAATATAATTCATATCTTTTATTATTAGGCTTTCACAAGCATTTTTGTATATATTTTCTCCTGTATTTATTGTTATAATCTGTTATTTCAAAGCCGCAGCATTTTCACTTCTCAGCTTCAAAAACCATCTTGAAGCAGTTTGCCCTTGTCATAAAACATACACAGCTATTGGGCACTGTTAGTGCAAGGGAGATAACTCCTTAGATAACTAAAGTTAAAAATGTTAGACAGACAAATAACTACACTTTGTAAATTACAAGAAGAGGAAAGTTCTCAGATTATATAATGTTGAAATTTCCCAGCCTATATGAAGTTTAAAGTTCATCAACTACATGACAGGGAAAATTTCCAAGATTATATAAGGTAAAACATTACTAGACTTTATGTAGTTGAAGTTTCTAGATAATATGAGGGGAAAGGCCCAAGGCTATATAAGGTGGAATGTTCCAAGTCTATATAATGCAGAAATTTCCTAGACTCTATAAAGTAGAAGTTTCTGTACTATACAAGGGAGAAAATTCCAAGACTATATAATGTTGAAATTTCCATAGAATATATAAGGTGGAAAGTTCCCTAACTATATAAGATGGTTAAATCCCAGACTATATGAGGTGGTAAGATAACAAACTTCATAATGTGGAAACTCCCTAACTATAAGAGGGGGGTGGATATTTCCAAATTAGTGGACATTTTTCAGAGTATATGAGGTAGAAAATTCCCAGACGACATAAGTTGGAAAGCTCCCAGTCTGTATGAGGTGGAAATTTCCCAAACTTCCAAGTAGACCATTACTCCAGTAAATAACATGGATTGTTTGTCAATAGTCTACATGGATATGCTCACAAATTTTTTTTCAAACTTTCTAGCATTTTCCTAGTGATTGGTAATCATACTGATGTAACACTTAATTTAAATCAATCTCCAGCTTAATTAATCTTGTTTTTTAATGCATATGCTTTTCCATTAATTACATGAATTAAATATTATATATATGCTGAATGTTAACTAATTCAATTATTTCCCCTCCACATATTTAATGGATGGTTCCAAGCAGTAGCAGCAGCAGGCTTGTCTCCCTTCCTTCCAACTTGCATTTACTCAGTAAACCAAATATAAGATCATTAAAATTTATCTTTCTCACTTTAACTTCTGATGCCTAGGGAAACTTAATCATTTTAAATTTTATGTCTGGAGAGTCTATGAGACTTCAACTTCTGTAAACTGTAATTAATGTCTCCATAACTTTTTGTTTATCATTGAAAAGTTCAGGTAAAAATTCAAGTAAATAATTATTTTAAAATATTTTGAGACAGGTTTTGTATGCTCACCAGATAAACTTATGGTGAATTTTTCATAAAATTTACAAGTAATATATACCTTAGAATTGTCTTGAGGCATCTTCTTATTTTATTGTGACTCTTCAAAATGTTGGCAGTCATGGCTCTCCTCATTTCCTGTCCTCTGTAGTTCTTAATAAATTTTATCATTTAGTCATCTCTTCTAGACCTTGTTCCACTATTCATTTACACAAGCTTGCTGGGTAAATTATGCTTTTTTTCCCACTGTTCTATTTGCATTCAATCTGGCCTGTGAGTATTAAATTTTCCGAGTCTTCTTTCCTCATTATATGCCCTAGAAATTTCAACCATCTTTTTCTGTTGTCAAGTAAAAGTGTCCTTTTTTCCCATTTTCTCTAAAGTTACATATTCAGTCAATGGTATTCTCAGCATCCTTCTGTAGAATCATATTTCTGTTGCTTCAAGTCAATTCTTCATATGTGAGAGGATTGTCCAGCATTCACTGTCATATAGGAGATATTACATAACAGTTAAGTACGTTTCTAATGAATTTTTTTCTGTTTCTTAATACTTTGCTTATCAAACAAATTTTTTTTGGTACAAAGATCCACCAAGTGTAGATGTATTTTCTCACCAGACATGAGTGATATGGGTATAAAAAAAATAACTTGTATCTGTCTATATTTCTGAGATGAGGTATTATGTATACTATTTACATTATTTGGACTATTGTCCTCATCTTTGTTGCCATATTTATTACAGCGTTTTGGCTGTTGTACACTCGGGCCTTCTTCAGGTGGTTGGAATGTCGAACTGAACCCTTTATTTTGCTCACTGCCATAGACTGTTCCAATTCCACATGCCATGTCTAATGGATGTCAATTATCAGTTATCTCCTGCCTTATTACCTCTCCAAGTTCTCCACTGCCTTAACCAGGTATTGAACTCACACTCTTTGGGTCCTGTCACTGGATCTAACTCCTTTATCTACTGTGCCATGTGTCCTTAAGAAGGCCAGAGCATACAACGGCCAAAACGTTGTAATAAATATGTTGACAAAGATGGGGACAATAGTCTGAATAATGTAAATAGTGAAAATAACTTGTGTTTGATATAAAAAATATTCATCAAAATCCTGATGAAGCATTTCAAGAGTAACACAAACATTTTGTCAAACTGTGCAAAAAAAAAAAATATTGATGCAGGCACCTTGTTTGAATTTGTCAGCAATCACAAGGATGACAGAGGCTTCAAACAAAATGTTACAGGATCTAACATAACTGAATGCAAATAGACAGCATGAAATGTGTAAGACCAGAAATTTTCCAATACATTATACATATAGATTTTTCTCTATTTACACAACAATGTACTATTAATAATGTCATTTAATTTTATTTTCTGGCAAAAGCCGATGATTTTATTTCCTGGCTATTTAATTTATATCCTGGCATATATGCTTCTCTCATGAGATCATAAAACAAGTTATTTATTGAAGTTCAAGTTACTTTTAAATGTAATCAGAAGTTAGATAAATTATGAGATTTACTAAGATTAATTTAGTATGGCACAGGGTTACAGAATCTCAGAGTCAAGAGTAATCATTCTAGCAATAGTATACTAGATCCCCTTCCTACTCATGGTAGACATTGTTTTTGGTCAGTAAAATATCAAGTTAGAAAGATTCAAACTGGGAATATCAGAGAAATGAAAATTGTCTGACTAAAATATATTCAACAAAAGAAATCAAAATCAAAAAACATTAGATCTTATCTTGTTTCTAGATAGAAATCAAAAATGAATATTAAAACCAATTAAAAAATACTACCATTGATATTTGTGGTGCTCTTCGTTCTATATTACATATTATACATGGGACAATAAGAAATTCTTGACTCAACCCATTTCTCAAATTTTGACCAAATGACCAATTGTCAAATTTCAAATTATACATGGGACACTAAAAATTCTTCTCAATCCATTTATCAAAATTTGACTAAATGTCCAATTGTCAAATTCAAACTATACATTGGTCATTGGACAATCCTTGGCTTAACCCACTTCTCAAAATGTGACCAAATATCCAAGCTCCAAAATTCAAATTATACAAGAGGGCAATGAAAAATTCTTGGCTCAAACCACTTCTCAAAATTTGACCAAACATCCAAATGCCAATTTTAATTTGTACAAGAGGACAAAAAAAATTCTTGGTTCAACACACTTCTCATAAGCTTACCAAACAAAACAGTAACTGAAAATTTTTGGTTTCACTCAATTCTCAAAATTTGACCAAATATCCAAGCTCAAAAGTTCAAATTATATATAAGAAAAATGAAAAAAGAAGAAATGGTTAATAATGCAAAAAATATTTGTCCTTATGAAAGAATCAGTTTTAATTTATCTTTATCTTTCAATTCTGAAATATTAATACAGTCCAAAAGTATACTTATTTTTAAAAATAAAAATGTAACATAACAGATCCCTTTGTAGAATCCATTGTGATGTCAAGATGTGCATAATCATGGTTCTCCACAAATTCATTTTATTTATCATCTGCAGATTGCCATTTCTTCTTGGAAACAATAGTTGAGTGGTTGCCCATTGCCTTTTCCACAGTTTTGAATTCAAAGTTTTTATCTTTTAGACTGGTTACCACCCAAAGATAGATAGCCAAGTCTACTTTGCTGTTTAACCCAAAAGATGGAAAAAGAAATTAATTCATGCCTTTCTCAAAGGTATTTGCGTGAAAGTGAATGCAGTATGAAAATGGACTGATGATTCCACTTTCTGTGTCAAAATCCAGAACATAACTTTTACATTAATATTAAAAATATTGTTTTAATATTTTATTTTATCTAAATGATAGCAGATCTGGTAGATCCATATAGATTTATGAGATCAATTGATCTGACAGATTTATATGGATCTATGAGATCAGTCGGTTTGGTTGATCTATATGGATCTACAAGATCAGTTGATCTGGTAGATCTATATGGATCCACAAGATCTGTCAATCTGGTAGATCTATATAGATCTACAAGATCAGTCAATCTGGTTGATCTCTATGGATTTACAAGATCAGTCGATCTGGTAGATATATATGGATCTACGTGATCAGTTGATTTGGTAGATTTATAGGGATCTACATGATCAGTCGATCTGGTAGATCTATATGGATCTACAAGATCACTGAATCTGGTTGATCTATACGGATCTACGAGATCAGTCGATCTGATAGATTTATATGGATCTACTGGATAAAATAAAATTATAAAAAAATAAAATAAATAAATAATAAAATAAAACAATAAAAAATATTTTTAATATTAATGTTCACCTATTGCAAGGCCTAAGATTACTAAAAGTTTAGCAAGAAAGAAAGAAACAAACAAAAACAAGGAATGAATTATTGAAAGAAAAAAATGAAGAATGTATGGATGGGAAGAGGAAAGAAAATGAAAAGGAGAGAAAAAGAGAGAAGAGTGGGAGGATGAAGAAAGAAAGTGAAAAAGAAAAGAGCGAAAAGAAAAAAGCAAAAAAAAAAGAAACAGTTGGGTAAGTGAAAGAAAGAATAGATAGAGGAGGGAGAAGAAGAATGAAAGCAAAATAAAAAAAAAAAAAAAAAAAAAAAAAGAAACAGTTGGGTAAGTGAAAGAAAAGAATAGATAGAGGAGGGAGAGAAGAAGAATGAAAGCAAAATAGAAAAAAAGCAAAAAAAAAAAAACAGTTGGGTAAGTGAAAGAAAAGAATAGATAGAGGAGGGAGAAGAAGAATGAAAGCAAAATAGAAAAAAAAGCAAAAAAAAAAAAAAAACAGTTGGGTAAGTGAAAGAAAGAATAGATAGAGGAGGAGAAGAAGAATGAAAGCAAAATAGAAAAAAAGCAAAAAAAAAAAACAGTTGGGTAAGTGAAAGAAAATAGATAGAGGAGGGAGAAGAAGAATGAAAGCAAAATAGAAAAAAAGCAAAAAAAAAAAAAAAAAAACAGTTGGGTAAAAAAGAAAAGAATAGATAGAGGAGGGAGAAGAAGAATGAAAGCAAAATAGAAAAAAAAAAAAAAAAAAGAAAACAGTTGGGTAAGTGAAAAAAAGAATAGATAGAGGAGGGAGAAGAAGAATGAAAGCAAAATAGAAAAAAGCAAAAAAAAAAACAGTTGGGTAAGTGAAAGAAAGAATAGATAGAGGAGGGAGAAAGAAGAATGAAAGCAAAATAGAAAAAAAAAAAAAAAAAAAAACAGTTGGGTAAGTGAAAGAAAGAATAGATAGAGGAGGAGAAGAAGAATGAAAGCAAAATAGAAAAAAAAAAAAAAAAAAAAACAGTTGGGTAAGTGAAAGAAAGAATAGATAGAGGAGGGAGAAGAAGAATGAAAGCAAAATAGAAAAAGCAAAAAAAAAAAAACAGTTGGGTAAGTGAAAGAAAGAATAGATAGAGGAGGAGAAGAAGAATGAAAGCAAAATAGAAAAAAGCAAAAAAAAAAAAAACAGTTGGGTAAGTGAAAGAAAGAATAGAATAGAGGAGGAGGAGAAGAAGAATGAAAAGCAAAATAGAAAAAAAGCAAAAAAAAAAAAACAGTTGGGTAAGTGAAAGAAAAAAAGAATAGATAGAGGAGGGAGAAGAAGAATGAAAGCAAAATAGAAAAAAGCAAAAAAAAAAAACAGTTGGGTAAGTGAAAGAAAGAATAGATAGAGGAGGAGAAGAAGAATGAAAGCAAAATAGAAAAAAAAAAAAAAAAGAAACAGTTGGGTAAGTGAAAGAAAAGAATAGATAGAGGAGGAGAAGAAGAATGAAAAGCAAAATAGAAAAAGCAAAAAAAAAGAAACAGTTGGGTAAGTGAAAGAAAGAATAGATAGAGGAGGGAGAAGAAGAATGAAAGCAAAATAGAAAAAAGCAAAAAAAAAAAAAAACAGTTGGGTAAGGAAAGAAAGAATAGATAGAGGAGGGAGAAGAAGAATGAAAGCAAAATAGAAAAAAGCAAAAAAAAAAGAAACAGTTGGGTAAGTGAAAGAAAGAATAGATAGAGGAGGAGAAGAAGAATGAAAGCAAAAATAGAAAAAAGCAAAAAAAAAAAAACAGTTGGGTAAGTGAAAGAAAGAATAGATAGAGGAGGAGAAGAAGAATGAAAGCAAAATAGAAAAAAGCAAAAAAAAAAAAACAGTTGGGTAAGTGAAAGAAAGAATAGATAGAGGAGGGAGAAGAAGAATGAAAGCAAAATAGAAAAAAGCAAAAAAAAAAGAAACAGTTGGGTAAGTGAAAGAAAGAATAGATAGAGGAGGGAGAAGAAGAATGAAAGCAAAATAGAAAAAAAGCAAAAAAAAAAAAACAGTTGGGTAAGTGAAAGAAAGAATAGATAGAGGAGGGAGAAGAAGAATGAAAGCAAAATAGAAAAAAAAAGCGAAAAAAAAAAAACAGTTGGGTAAGTGAAAGAAAGAATAGATAGAGGAGGGAGAAGAAGAATGAAAGCAAAATAGAAAAAAAAAAAAAAAAAAATGAAACAGTTGGGTAAGTGAAAGAAAGAATAGATAGAGGAGGGAGAAGAAGAATGAAAGCAAAATAGAAAAAAAGCAAAAAAAAAAAAAACAGTTGGGTAAGTGAAAGAAAGAATAGATAGAGGAGGGAGAAGAAGAATGAAAGCAAAAAATAGAAAAAGCAAAAAAAAAAAAGAAACAGTTGGGTAAGTGAAAGAAAAGAATAGATAGAGGAGGAGAAGAAGAATGAAAGCAAAATAGAAAAAAAAGCAAAAAAAAAAGAAACAGTTGGGTAAGTGAAAGAAAGAATAGATAGAGGAGGGAGAAGAAGAATGAAAGCAAAATAGAAAAAAAAAAAAAAAAAAAGAAACAGTTGGGTAAGTGAAAGAAAGAATAGATAGAGGAGGAGAAGAAGAATGAAAGCAAAAATAGAAAAAAAGCAAAAAAAAAAAAAACAGTTGGGTAAGTGAAAGAAAGAATAGATAGAGGAGGGAGAAGAAGAATGAAAGCAAAATAAAAAAAAAAAAAAAAAAACAGTTGGGTAAGTGAAAGAAAGAATAGATAGAGGAGGGAGAAGAAGAATGAAAGCAAAATAGAAAAAAGCAAAAAAAAAAGAAACAGTTGGGTAAGTGAAAGAAAGAATAGATAGAGGAGGGAGAAGAAGAATGAAAGCAAAATAGAAAAAAGCAAAAAAAAAAGAAACAGTTGGGTAAGTGAAAGAAAGAATAGATAGAGGAGGGAGAAGAAGAATGAAAGCAAAATAGAAAAAAGCGAAAAAGAAAGAAAGAAAGAGTAGGATAGGTGAAAATAAGAAAGGATAGAGGAGGAAGTAAGAAGAATGAATTTTGCTAAACTCTGTGAAATTCATGTTTGTTCTGTTGTTTTTGTTCAAGCACTGTTAACCATTTCAGTCATATTCAAGAGCCATCTATTATAATATATAGTTAACTATATAAATTAACTATATATATAGTACTATATAACTATATATTATCATATAGTTATATCATAATATATAGTTAACAGAATCTTGCCTACCATGTTGTAGGCAGGATTCTGTTAACTATATATCACAATTTATGTGTTGTTCTAAAAATGGAAAACTACAATAAAACATTAAACAGATAGTCCTTGTCAGTTCAATTTAATCAAACTTATTTTGATAAACACACACACCTATATATATATATATATATATATATATATATATATATATATATTAAATAGTCTTAATAGGGAGTCTACATAAGAATTTAAGTATATTCAATATATAGTTTCCACAAAAAGCAATCTAAAAACACTGTAATGGTAAATGACTAGCCCAACCTACTAGATTTAATCAGTATTATAACATGCAAAAAATAAAAAAAAAATCCTTGAAGACAACATGGTAATAGCAGTGAGTCATATAAGTTAGAGGAGCCAGAAAACAGGAAAAAAATAATAAGCAGCTTCTAAAATGAGTCTGCTATATATGTACACAAGAAAAAAGAGCTCTCTATGCCATAGTAACTGGCAGAGCTTTATTATATTTTAAATCAATTTTCTAGTATGCAGGGACCAACCATGACAACAAGTTTCAGATGCTTTCATGCATTTGTCAGGTGGTCAGTAATTGTAAGGTGAAAATTGAAGTTTTTATATGCCAAGGGCATTTGTAGATGGGAAAAGTGTAGCTGGTATTTGCATACCATGCACACACTGACCAAACTAATCTGGATGAGATGGGACACCCATCTGGCCCAAGATTCCAAAAACCCATAAATACACAATTATAAAAGACACCATAAATGATTCACTGGTGTGATGAAAAGTGCTCAATGCCATGCAGAAAAATGGGGCCACAGTAAAAAAGCCTACTGCTTTTAATCAGAAAAAGGGCTCAACAAAACTGGGCCCTTAAAGTCAGCAATGGCAGGGTATTATAGTAATGAGAAGAAAGAGCAGCTCTTAAAATGAGCCTGCTATAGAGGCAGACAATAAAAAAAGAGTGCTGTATGCAATATTAACTGATAGAGCTTTATTATGTTTTAAATCATATATATATATATATATATATATATATATATATATATGTATGTATGTATCTGTTTGTGTGTATTAATAATAAATATACATTTTTTCTTCACCAATAGTATGACTATGAGTTTCATGCACAAAGCAATCTTCAGGTCAGTTTACAATCACCAACTTGAAGATTGTATTGTGCATGAAAATCAGACTTGTGATACTGGTGAGGAAAAAAATGTATACTTGTTATTAATATAAATTATGGATCTGTTATCATGCCTCCTATGGAGGCATGGTGGAGTAATAGATTGCAACTTAGATAAAGGAATAAGGGAAGAGAGTTCAAATTCCAGTCAAGTTCATTAAATTCACTTACATGCAAACACACTTTGGACATATATGAATATGACAGATGGTATAAAATAACATTATGCATTGAGCACATTTTTAAATCACTAGCACTGAATGTGTGAAATATATATATATATATATATATAATAAAAAGGCTTAAACACTAATATTCCATGGTCATAATTTATTCCATTGGAATCGTAAATACGAACCAATTCATCAGACCTACAAATTCTAAAAGAAAGCAGAAAAAACAAGTCCGGAAATAAAAAATAGAATTTAGAGAGAGTGTAAGTTACTACTAATGATATAGCTCTCGATATTAGGCACTATACTTACAAATATTGCTTTCTTTAAAAGTGTTATCATCCAGAAATACCTTAATTGATAGTGTTTTGTTGATGCTCTTGCAAAACACAATGTTTGCTATTGCTATTTCTCTCTCTCTCTCTCTATCTATCTCTCTCTCTCTCTCTCCACACATACACACGCACGGATACATGTGTGTGTGTGTGTGTGTGTGTGTGTGTGTGTGTGTATATATATTTGCAGTAATTTCTAGACAGCACTGTTGATAAGGATTTTAACAAGACCAAAATCTTTTTATTGTAAAAGATTGCAGGGTGGGGGGCAATCAAAGATTTTAAACAGTGGGAATCCAAATTGACTTTTTTAATTTTTCATCTCTTTCGAATAGCAATGTGATTTTGCCTTTCAATCTGCTTGGTCAATTCTTTAAAAGATTTTAGAGGGATAGAAAAAATTATTTTTAATAACAATTAATTAAAATTAAAAAAAAAGACAGTTTTTAGTAGTTTTGCATTGAGAAATACAAAACAAGACTAAAGGAATGATTTATATTGACTGCAACAAAAATTTGCAACAGTTCTGTTTTGTATCACCTTCCCATTTTGAATATTCAAAACAACCAATTAGAAGCAAAATATTAGAAACAGGTTTCTTAAGAATGATGACTTGCAGCAAGATTTCTGCAAAATGTCTGCAATGATTTCAGGAAAAGAATTGATGAGTAGAATGAACACATAATGAAACTCAATGAAGGTAGAGTCTTTATTTTTGTATCATGTATATCTTTCAGAATCCTCTACTAGCCACTTGCAATAGTTGGATCATTTTCATGGCTTCCTTCTTGTGAGGAGACTCTTTAGTATTCACTACCATACAAGAAGAATGATATTGCATAACAATTCAGCACAGTTTTCTTTCTTTCTAATGACATTTTCCTGTTTCTCAGAACTTTGGTTATTTTTTGGAACATATCATTTTCAATCCCAACATGTGTTCAGAATTTGGTGGCACATAGCAACTCAATTGCATTCTTTAATTTAGTAAAATGCATGGAATTAAAATGAAAATAAACACCTAAACAGTCAATCATCAAATAACAAAAAATGGTTTCTGAATCGGAGGATTTGTACATCCTTCTGGTTAAAAAATAATCCTTTGGAAATAAATATTTGACATTTTCCAGCCAATGGGTTGCATTCCTGCTGACAATAAAAAATATGTTTCATGATCCTTTTGAAGAGTATTTAAGTAAAGTCTCTAGATGGACAAAGGCAATAAGGATACATTTGACATCAGTTCACGACAGCAGCTTCAAAGAGATTTCCTTACTCTTTCACCTGTCTTCCTCAACAAGCTTTGTGACATTTTCACTTTTCCTCATATAGCTACATGACACTTACACACTTCCTCATGAAACTATGTAACACTTAAAATTTCCAACCCACTTTCTCCTTTGCCTCTTTTTTGTCACACATACATAGATGTGATAAAATCACATTTCTTTTTATCTTAGCAAATAACTACAAACAAGGACTGCAAAAACACTCTTACATGCTGAGAACAATTTAGTTGTAAAAACACAAAACTAAAAATATTTTATATTTTTATATGCAAACACATTTCCCCCCTTTTTCTTTGTTGTGGGTTGATTCAAGTCCACAGTAAATGTTCTTTTTCTTATCAACATTCTACAGTCTTGGAGTTGTCTCTGTAATTCTAATTCAAAATTCAGCATCATAAAATAGAATCGTCAGCATTATGAGATTGTAGCTGTTATATCGGAATTGATTCACAGTTTATGCAGTATATTTTTTTGTATATGTAAAATCATGTGTTAAGAAGCTAAATTGTCAGTGAATCACAAAAAAGAGTTTGCGATGACTTAATAAAAAATTGTAGACATTTCGTTTTCTTTAAAGCCAAATATGCTAAATGTCTTTTTGGTTTATAAAGGTAGTACTAATATTAGCTGTTTGCTTATATTTGGCATTCACTGACAGCCAGTGTTAATGTTAGTTTAAATTTCTAAAATCTTTCTCTATAAACAGTTTTTCAGGAAAATGGATTTTTCAAGCCCAGTAGCTGTTATCACTCTTTCCAGTATTTATGTGGACTTTGTGGAGTCATTCACATCATATCAGCAGGGATAGCCTGATGTTCACAAGAATAAAAATATACTAAGAAATAACTCTCAAAGCATGTTAAATTGTAAATTGAACTTGTACAATTTTATTTATTTTTGTATATTGGTGTGTGCGTATTTTAGTTATATGTGTTTTAAGGTTGCATGTAATAAAGGAAGAAAGTCACTTCGTCTTACAACAAGCAATGCACTGAGGAGAGATGCATATCTTGACCATTTGAGGGTCGGTAGCAAAGTAATTGATTTTGGTGTTTTTTGGCACAAAGTATCCATTTTCAGGCAGAAAAATTTTCTGTTGCATGCTGGGAGAACTTTTATTATTTTGGTTTTATTTATTCTATTTTTAAAAAAAGTTTTCATGTTGTTTGTTTTATTTTACTTTATTTATGATATTTATTATTATTATTTTATATTTTTATTTATTAATATTGTCCCTACAACTTCCTTCCTAAGCTTTTATTTGAAATAGACTACAAGTTATACATGCTATTCATTTTTGTTGTTGCTTCTGTTGAAAGTCTTTATGTGGTGTCGTTTGATTATTTGATAAAGTTCTTTTTGATTTTGTAATGCCAGTTCTGAAGGTTTTGAAGAAGGATGTTTCTCTCAGAGAGTTACAGGTTTCATTCATTTGAAGCCATGTTTAATCATTGATCTGAGAATGTAGGTATATACTGCTGGTAGTTTGGATATTTCTGAATGGGTTTAGAGCTATGCATGACATTCATATGAAATTCTTATTCTGAGGAGGCTATTTAAGAATATGATTTGAGTTTCTCACTTAATGTTTTGGTATTGTATAGTTTGTGGTGTAAGGCAAATTTACACCTATTCCACATTCATTTTTATTATCTCCTATACTAAGTTTCTTATAACTGATCTATACACTGAGATATTTGAAGCATTTCGTATTTAATAATTCTATATCCTGAATTTTTATGATGTTTGCAAGGTAGGTACATATTTTCTCTTTTGGAAAGGTTTATATTCAGTCTTAGGTATATAATGATTTTCCAAGCATAGCTTAGATGTGGCACAAGGCTGAAAATTAGGGG